TACGTATTGTTTGTATGCCTTTCTCACCACTACCTCCCCACTGAATAGTGTGGCCTGGAAATAATTCTGTCTTGAATCTTTCCATTGGGTCTGTTTCGACCATAGGATCAAGGCTGGAAGGAACTTTTGAGTCCCCCATCCTTTAAAAACAAAACCAAAAACCCTCATGAAATTTCACCATCTCCCATTAGCTATTGTCCTCTACCTCTCCTCTCCTCAGTTGAATTCTTTAAAAGGCCATCCATACTCAATGCTTTCACTTCCTCTCCTCAGTCTTTCTGTACCTCTACAATCTGGCTGTCAACATCATGACTCCCAGAAACCACCTTCTCCAAAGTTGCCATTGACTTCTTAAGTGCCAAATCTAATAGCCTTTTGTGGGGCCTCGTTCTTTTTCATCTCTTTGAAGCATTTGGCACTATTTACCACTTTCTCCTCCTGGATCTTCTCTCCTCTCTGGGTTTTTATGACATTGCTCACTCCTGGTTTTCATGCTACCTGTCTGATTGTTCCTTCTCAGTCTCTTCTGCTGGATCTCATCCATGTTGTGTGCATTAACTGCTGATATCCCCGAAGCTCTGTTCTGGACTGTTTGCTCTCCAAATTCTCACTTAGCAATCTCATCCGCTCCCCTGTCTTTAATCATCAACCCTATTTAGATGACTCACAGATTTATATATCCAGCCCTTAATCTCTCTTCTGAGCTCCAGTCCCGCATCACAAACTGCTCATTGGGCATTTTGAACTGGATATCAAAGATATCTCAGATTCAATATATCAATTACAGACCTCATTATCTTTCCCGTAAAATCCATCCCTCTTCTTTCTTACTACTGTCAAGGGCCCACCATTCTTAGAGTCACCCTGGTTATCAACATCCTCAGCTCTTTACTCTCTTGTCCTCTATATAATCCGTGGCCAAATCTTATCATTTCTACCTTCCCAACATCTTTCACACATGTTCCCTTCTTCACTCACACAGCTACTATATTAGTTCAGGCCCTCAACACCCCTCACTTGGAGCATTGCAATCACCTCTCAATTAGTCCATCTCTCTCTCTCTCTGTCTCTCCTCTCTCTCTGTCTCTCTGTCTCTCTCTCTTTCTCTCTCTCTCATTTCCTCCAACTCCAATTTATTCTCTACACAGAAGCCAACATGATTTTCCTAAAGCGCAGGTCTGACTATGTCACCCTCCTGTTAAATAAATTCTAGTGTCCCCCTGTTACTCCACTGTTTTCACAACCTGGTCCCTTGCTATATGGCAGCCATACTGGTCTATGTGCTCTGCACACAAGGCATCTCCATGCCTTTTCACATCACTCTCCCCAAAGCCTGGTGTGCTGTCCTTCCTCACCCTTCTCCTCTTAGAATTCCTGGTTTCCTTCAGGCACCCTGTTCTACCAGAGGCTTTCGGTATTACCCTCATTGCTGGTGCTTTCCCTGTGAGGCTTCTATGCCTGTATCTTGTATGTAAGTATATACGTCCATGTTATCTCTCTCAATATGGTACAGGCAGAAAGAACACTGGATTTGGAATCAGAAGACCTGAGTTCAAATGTTGACTCTGTGATTTTATTAGATCTATGTAATCTTGTGTAGTCCCTTCACCTTTCTAGGTCTCTGTTTTCCCTTTGGAAATAAAAGAAAATAAATAAATGAAGATGGACTTGAAGATCTTTGAGGTCCCTTCCAGTTCGTAGTCTATGGATCTAGGAGTCTATGATCCAATAGCAGACCCCCTGAACAGGTTAGGGAAGAAAATGTTTTGGGTCTTATAACTGTCCTTGAAATTCTACAGCGCCTCCAAGAACTATGGTACCTGAAGATTGGGGGGCAGTTGGTAGGTTCATGAATTTGGAATCTTTCCCATCATTCCCAGAGGCTGGTCACTCATCTCTTTTTCACTGGGAATTCCCGAGCTCTCAGCCGAACCTCCCACAAGCCTCATCCCTAAACTTTCATCAAGGTGATAACATCTGATGGTTGCTGAGCAGGTTCTCGATATGACCAGTTGTGTGCTCCGAGTATCAATGATTTCTTGAGTCAGTGAGGCCAGGTCACTTCTATTGCAGGAGAAGAAAGACAAACCAACTTTCTTTCCCTTCCTCCTATTCTAGAGCAGGGTCCGAAACAACCCAACCTGGTCAGAATCTCTTCAAGTTTCTCCTGTTCTAGAGCAGGGGCAACTCAACCTGGTCAGAATCTCTTCAAGTGCTTTAGGTAATCTAAGGATTTTTCATAGGATCATAAATTTAGAGCTTAAAGGGACCTTAAGGGCCACAAAGTTTTACCCTTTCATTTTATGGATGAGGAAACTGAAGCATAGAGCCCAGGGTCACATAGCTAGTAAGCATTTATAGTAGAATTTGAACCCAGGTCTTCCCGATGCATGAGTGGCATATTCACTGCACTTTTACTGCCTCTCTCTCTCAAAAAAAAGTGAGAGGCAAGGGTTTGGGGAGATTCCATGTTGTCATTTCTGTATGACTTTAAAATGAGGGAGGTGTGAAAAAGATTCGAGGATCTTTGTGTCCCCTCAGACTCAGCACTGGAATCCTCTTGACCTATTAGTGCCCTGTAAAAGCATCTATGGGACTCTGACCATTTCTTGACTCCTGGGATCCACAAGTCATATCTTGGGCCATGAGAGGGAGTAGGTAGGAAGGCGATGGTGCAACAGGGCTGTCCTAAACTACCCCCTGAATAATCTAAAGTTGGAAGCCCTATCATGTCCATCCTTGGTCCTGACTCCCAAGCATCTTGCCACTCTCCCAATGTTTCTCACACTAACCTCCATTTTTCTCTTTACCAGACTCAGGGCATTTTGGATTTTAAGCAGGTGAATTACCTTATTTATGGGTAAAGTAGTAAATTCCCAAATTGTAGGAAGGGCACAAGAATCCAAGTGCTAACATTTTATGCCTAGTTTGAAGGGAATAGAACCTCAGGGTACACAGAACCACAAAATTTGAGGGAAGAAGGGACCTCAGAGCCCACCTGGCCCCACTCCTATATGAGCAAGAATTCCTTTTATGAACAATATCCCCAACAAATTGATATCAAGGCTTTGCCTAATGACCTCCAAGAAGTGGAGTCAACCATCCTCCAAGGCAGCCCATTTAAATTCTGGATAGTTCTAAACATTAGGAAATGTTTTAAATGCAGATAATGATGATGATGATGATGATGATGATGATGATGATGGTGATTGATTGATTGCTGATGGATTGCATCTACCTCCCAGGGGTATTGTGAGGATAAAATACAATAATATTTGGAAAGCACTTTGCAAAGCTTAAAGTGCTATAGAAAAGCTAGCTATTGTTATTATAAACATTTCTTGTCATCATACCTGAATTTGTTTCTTTGTACTTCCCCCTCCCCCAATGCCCTGGTTCTGCCATCTGGGACCAATCTCTCTTCTCCATAATAGCCATTCAAATAATGAAGACGACTCTCATGTCCTCCCTGAATCTTCTCTTTTTCAGGAGAAACATCCCCAGTTCCTTTAACTGATTCTCACGCGGCATGGTCTCAAGGCTCTTCACCATCTAAGTCGATCTCTTCTAGACATGCAAGCCTATCAATGTTCTGCTTAAGAAGCAGCACAGCCCGGAGCTGGATGCTATACTTCCAAAGGGATCTGACTAGGGCACAGTCCAGAGAGACTCCTCCTGTACCTGCTTCTTATCCTCAGACTCTCTGCTTCTCCTGAGGCAGCCTAAGGTTGCCTTAATTTCTTTAGCTACCATTTCATATTGTTGACTCACAATGAGATTGCTGGCCTCTGGATCTTTTTGGGATGGTCCATTCTTACACAGCTTCCTCCACAGAATGCCCATGAAGCTGATTGCTTTAACCAAACAATTCTCAGGCTTTTAAAATATTCCTTGGCTCAGCTAGCATCCTCTCATTCCATATATTTGATTTGTTGCCAAATCATCTTTTTTCCCTCCACATCCTTCATTCTGACTTCTCTCAGCTCCCACAGCCGCCACCCTCTTCCATGCCCTCATCACTTTTCAGAGTTTATTATGATGGTCTCCTAATTTACCTCCTTACCTCAAGTCTCTCCCCACTCTAGTCCACATTGCGGCCAAAGTTATTCTCTGTAAACCAGATCTGACCATGTCATGCCCTTATTTAATAAATCTCAGTCTCTCACTATTGTCTCTAAAGCCCTTCACAACTTGATCCTTACCTATCCTTCTAGCCTCATTGGACATTACTCACCCTCCTGCTCCCTGCAATTTAAACAAATCACCCTTTTCTTGTTTCTCACACGCAATACTCCATTCTCCCGTCTTTATGCTGGTGCCTGGAATTCACTCCCTCCTCATTGCCTCTCTTCTGAGAGAAATTATTATTCACCAATGATTTGGAGAGATTCAGAGTTCCCCTTTTTTTAAGTCCTGATTTCAAAAGTTCATTTGAATAGGTTTGGCCTTTCATTGTAATATTAATTCTCTCATTAATTGTTAACCAATCAGAGTTGCCTGCCAGTCTTGGAAACATCCCTCTTCCAATGAGCATACAAGCAATGAACCCACCCACCATCATTATCTTCGGTCTAAGAGAGAGATGGCCAAATGACCATCCTTTTATTAAAATAATGGCATTATTAATAAAATGATTAAATTACTCAGAAATTATGTCTCTTGAGACATTTTGGTCTCCACACTTCTTTCAAGATGCATCTCAAGCATTGCTTTCTACTTGAAGCCTTTCCTGATTCCCTCCAACTTCTGGTGCCCTCCTTCCCACACTACCTTGTATTGAATTATTTTGTATTTATTGGTATTTATTATTCCTACCATAGATATCTACATATTTACTTGCACTCTCCCCCATTAGAATGCAAATTCCTTGAGACTAGAAATTATTTCCGTTTTTGAATCCGTATCCCCAGGACTTAGAATAGTGACTAGAACACAGTAAGTGATTAATAAGTGCATATTGATTGTTATTAAAAATCTGGCTAGAAAAAAAAAGCACTTACTTGAGTTTTCTCCAGGGAAAGGAATGTCCATGTGGCCTGAGGAAGACTTATTCCATGGCTGGGATGTCATCTTTGGAGGATGGCAGATGTCCATTGCTCCTGGGTTGCTAAAGACATTGCTGAAAGCCTTTGTTGTTCTCATTGGCCCCAGGTTCTCATCAGTTTTTCCTCTGAGTCCAAAGGAAGAAAAGAGAGTGCTCTTCTTTGTCAGGGCATTGTACTGGTCCAAAGGCCTCCCCAGTAGAACCTCTTTCTGGCTAACTTTGTCAAAGACATCTTCCACCTTGGCAGAGGGTAGGGTCATAGGCCTCTTTTGCCTACTGGGTAAACTGTGAGCCCGGGTAATTCTATCTGAAAGGTTATGTGCCCCTGGCGGTGCCTCAGAGGCACCATGGGTGGCATCATGTAATGAAAAGGCTGAGTCTGTGGTCCCTTTCTCCTTCCCAGGTGCCAGTAAGGAGACGCGGCTGGGCTTCTGCACATCCCAGTATTTACTATAACTTGTTTTCCTTAAGTTTTGGGAGTGAACACTGGGGTGGGGGCCACTCAAGACAAGTTCTCCAAAGGTGCTTTTGTTCTAGAATCACAGATCTTCTTTCCACCCTCTGGGTTAGAAAGGAGGGGCTCCAAGGACCTCCTGATTGCATTTGCTATCAGGCGTAGAGGGGATTTGGGTCTGCGTACTGTCCACTCCCCTGTGGCCTTCAGTGCTGGGCCACAGACTCCCTCTGGACCCCCTCTCTGGTCTGACAAGGCTTCCCTGGCCGGCCCAGAAGATGATGAAAGGTCAGCCAGCTTTGATGCTTCGCCACTTTTACCATCTCCGGCGTGCTTTGGGTCTGCTCTCTGTCTAGCACCCAGGCTTAGACATTCTGCATTAGCATCATTCCAGTCCAGCAACTGAGACTTTTGTTCTTGAGTGAGCAGCAATTTCTTTAAGCATTGTTTTTTCCCCTCAGTGCATTTCAGTTGGTAGTCTTCTCTCCCACTTCCTGTGCTTGCATTTCCTTGGCCTTCCTCGGGAGATATCCTGCTCCTTGTCTCTACTCCACCACGATCTGGACCATCCTGGGTACTCCAGGTTTCCCAAGGAATTGCTTTGGCTTTCCTATGGCCACTGGAACTCTTCATATCAGCATCCTGTGGCTTGGGTGTGGAAGAGGGATCTTCCTTGGGCGTCACCAGGGGATGTCTTGCCTCGTTTTGGAAATGATGAGGTACATAGAGGGGCATTTCCTTACACACCTCTCGCATGCGGACTCTTCCCTGAATGATTGGACTTTGAGGCTGGCAATGTCCTCTTGTGATTTCAGGGGAATTGATGCATGATGTCACCTGGAGGGAGTCAACATAAAAGCAATCATCAAGCAATCCCTACTATTCATTACTTTTCTATACGCATTCCTTTCCCTGATCATTCTCCACACATTTCCCTTCCCCGAGCTCTTGACGGTTGTATTAGAACAAAGCTAACGCTACAACAGGGGCAAATTTCCTTGCTGAGAAGAAATGCAGCACCGTAGCAATAGGACAGTGGCAGTGGTGGCCAAGATGATGGTGAACATGGGAAAGTAATTTTATATCCTTGAAACTCAATATTCTCATTTGTAAAATGGGTACCATAATACTGCTAGTACTTTTACCTATGGAGTTATTAATACCATCTTATTTATGGCATGGTAGAGTGGAAAGAGGGCATCTAGGTAGCATAGTGGATAGAGCACTGGGCTTGGAATCAGGAAGCTTCATCTTCCTGAGTTCAAATCCAGCCTCAGACACTTACGAGCTATGTGACCCTGGACAAATCACTTAACTCTGCCTCGGTTTCCTCATCTTTGAAATGAGCTGAGAAGGAAATGGCAAACCACTTCAGTATCTTGGCCAAGAAAACCCCAAATGGGGTCACAGAGAGTAGGACAGGACTGAAAAATGCCTGAACTGAACTGAGAGAGGAAAGAGTGCTAGCTCTGGACTCAAACAATCTGGCTTTGAATCCCACTTGTGATGGTTAGTACCTATTCAGCTTTGGTTGCCTAAATCACTTAGCCTCTCTGGACCCCAATTTCTTTTTTTAAATTTTTGATTAATTTATTTTGAACAATCATTTCCATAGGCTTTTGAGTTTTAAATTTTCTCCCCCTCCCTCCCCACCTCTTTCCCTAAGACAGCATGCAATCTGATATAGGCTGTACATATACATTCCTATTAAATATATATTTTCACAATAGTCATGTTGTAAGGAAGAATTAGAACCAATAGGAGGAACCACCAGAAAGAGGAAACAAAACATAACAGAAGAAAAAAAATAGCAAATAGTATGCTTCGATCTGCATTCAAACTCCACAGTTCTTTCTTCTTTGTGGATAGTATTTTCAATCATGAGGCCTTTGGAGATGTCTCAGGTCCTTGCATTGCTGAGAAGGATTAAGTCTATCGATATTAGTCATTGCAAAAATGGCTGTTATTGTGTATGACATTCTCCTGGTTCTGCTCACTTCACTCAGCATCAGACCATACAAGTCTTTCCAGGTTCTTCTGAAGTCAGCCCACATGTTCATCATTTCAGCACAATAGTATTCCATTACATTCATATACCACAACTTGCTCCGCCATTCCCCAATCGATGGGCATCCTCCCAATTTCCAATTCTTGGCCACCACAAAAAGAGCTGCTACAAATATTTTTGTACATGTATAGACCCCAATTTCTTCATCTGGAAAAAGACAGGCATTGGACTAGCTTTCCTCTGGCTATGTGACCCTGGCGGTGCCTCAATTCATTCAATGATCCCATGACAGTCAACAACTGTCTTATTCTTATTTGATGGGAGTTCAGATAAAAATGACCATGGGGACAAGTCACCAACCTACTATTATCTTTTTGTGTTGGATGTTTTGCTGAGCACTATGCTGGAGGAGAAAATGATTGCTTGTTGTGTCTGTAAATATCACCTTTGATCATTGGTTGGATTTTACCTTCAGATCCAAGCCCACCGTCTTCCATCTCTATTTTCCCTTAATACACATTAAGAATTTTATACTAGTTGAGTCTAAATGACATTTGGATATCACAGAAGAAAATGTCCATGGTATGAAGAAGCTATTCAATATGTTTTTGGTGGAACCATATAATTTGATGCCATCTATGTAATTAGGTGATTAAGTAAAATGTATTGGTATGACTCTCTTTTGGATGTGGGACTTAAACTCATTTCTATTCAGGAATGGTGGTAATAGGTTTTAAAGTTATGCAGAATCATAGCCTGCTTGAGCTATCTTCCTGAAAGATGCCATGATTTACACCAATTATTCTTAACATGATTGTGCTGGTGCCACGTTTCAGAGAGCAGTTTTCTATGTTGACATCAAATGATCTAGGATTCTCCCTATGCTTAGGTTTCTCCTGTAAATCTGTAGCATGTGAACAAACTAGGATGTGCAGAATTGAGACAAAGGCTTTGTGATCATCAAGAAAGGCTATGGAGCTTTGGGGTGACTTGTTCAATAATACCAATCAAAGATGAGTTGGCTTTTGCACTCCTAAAACTTTTTGGCACATCTTTCTCTTTTTGGTGATATAAACCACAAATGCTTTACATAAAATACCTAAGTATATAATTGGCCCATATTTTGAAGAATTATTGGGATTCTCATCTTTGGGTAATAGATGTAACAATAAGAAAAATGGGATCACATTCATGTCTGAGAGGAAGCTGGTAAAGCTCTTTGCTAATAATTCATGTATGATAATGCAGATGAAGCATCTGTACCAATTATTTGACCTCATTCTGCCCCACCACTTTCCAGCTTTGCAGAGAAGCTAGTTTCAGTCACTTTCCTTGACAAAATAATTTCTGTTGTCCATTGTATTGATAGTACACAAATTTTCTGTTTCGTGTTTGATCTAATTTGAATATTCATTGTTGGACTTCTTGCAGCTAAAAAAAAAAAGACAACCAGCATTTCCGCACATTCTCCATCTTTAGGGATTCTCCTTCCTCTCTGATTTGTTTGCTTCTCCTGTCTCCACAGTAGAGCCTTTGTTTGAGGCCAAATTGCCTGTTTTGTTTTTTGCATTGTTTTAACTCCTTATATAACCTTAACCTTCTGGCATTTCCATTCAATTGTTGATTAAGGGTGTCTTATTTGCTCTCATATACTTCCCCTCCACCCCAAGGTCTATTCCACATGTTTCTTTGGCTGCCTTTAATTAGACAATATGGCATTCTAGGGTTGCTATTATTATTATCTTGCTTCATGTGCCAACTAGATATTGTTGTAATCTTCCAATGCCTTTTCATAAGTCAACATCTTTTTCAAGATGTTTCCACCATGATGATGTGTGACATCTGTCCCCAGGAATATTCCTTGGTAGCTTCACCATCCCTATCACAATCCTAACCATGGCAACAGCCACAGCATATATGGTTGCATACAGGTCCGGAAATTTTATTTTATTTTATATCAAAGAGTATAGTGAAATTTGTTTGTGATGGATGTAGCAAATGTGGGCTTTTTTGAATGACTCTATTTTAGTATTGGTGGTCAGCTGGTTAGAGTTGTACCATCAAACTTAGAAAGGACTTTTCAAAATCTCATTCTAAGTGAGCCCATCACTTCAAACCTTTTGAGACAATAACATCACAGACAGTTCTCACTTCACTTAAGCAGACCATTCTGCAGACCTCTATAAAGTGATTTGCTTAATACAAATTTGCCTGTGGACATGGGGAAGGAAGGGAGGGAGAAAGGGAGGCAAAGAGATGGCTTCCTGCCATGCCAGGATGGAGGAGGGAGAGCAGGAGAAAGGACACACAGACCTGAGCCAGCCATGTTGGGGCCTGGTGGGTTCAATAAGAAGAACATTAGGGGGCAGATACATGGGGGCTGGACATGGACACAGATAGGAGAAGACAGGCAACACATAAGGGCATGGGACAGACACGAGGTACATGCGTGGGCAGACAGAAGACAGACATGTGGGGGCCAGGCAGGTGGTAGAGTGGGGAGAAGGTCTCTTCTCTAGGCAAGAAGGTCTCAAGCCAAACCTCCCAACAAGCAGCGGTGGTCTCTCTATGCCTCAGTTCATCTGCTTTCACTTGGAGGGTTTTTTTTGGTGGGGGGCTGCAAAGCAACCAGGAACAGAGAAAGAGAGCATAATACTGTACATCAAAGTTAACATAGGTTTTTTTGGAATGTGAATTTCTTTCAGAATTCTTTATGTAAAGTCAAATTTATATAAAGTGAGAATTGTCTATATTTTTGCCATCTATTTTTGTTACAGGGTAGAACTCCTGCAGTTTGTGTTCAGTGAAGATTTTTAATGTCTCCAAGTTTGACAGATTTCCTCTCTTCAGATATAAGTAATTCCTCAATTTCCACTCTTGTTTCATCAAATCTGGGCTTCAAACTGAAATGATTTCTTCCAGTTGCTCTGCATTGATCTGTGCCTCTTTATTGTATCACTTGGACTTAAGGGTATCATTGGCCAAAAAAAAAAAAAAGTAATATGAAGCCTTTGCCTGTGACTGATAAGTTCTATTT